TCGTCGAGTAGATGTAGTAAGTAATCTTATTTGATTTATTACTTACCAAGAATGCCTTGAACTTGAAAGGTAGTAACATAGTGAAATATACAATATAATTTATGCTGACATTAAACTTATATATAACATTTAATATTTAATAACATTTCATTTTTATTCTAAGCAGAGCGCGATGACAAGGACGTGAATTAAATATTGAATTATATTTAATATGAATTGAATATAATATTTAATATGAATTAAATATTAAATATTATGAGTAATATTTATGAATTAACATTTATTATATTACACTGGCAATAATTTAAAATATATTTTCCAGAAATCAATTCTAATAAAAAAAAATTATCCAGCAATTTTTTTGTTTTGCGGACCATTTGGCGCCCCTTTGTGAGTAGCGCCCGGGGCATGATGCCCCCCCTTGCCCACCCCTCGCAACGCCACTGTCACTCCAATATAAATTTGCTATCTATAATGTGCATACTTTTTGTCAAGGATTCAAAAAATACGTGTGAAAGGCTGTATTTATGAAACTTTTTATGAATCTTCATTATAGTTCTGTGTGTTTTACAGCTTTTCCACGATTCTAAATTTGATTTTATAATAGTTAATGGATTAAAATGATTACAACGAAATTTCAATAGCTGGGTGTAATAACAGCATGTTCTGTTACAAGCCTGGATAGCGTTTTGTTATTTAACAATTTTAATAAAATTGTGACAAATTTTATTAAGTTATCTAACTTCAGTGGTTTGACTATCACCAAATTCTAGCCTTATTTTAAATATGCTTATCATACATCAGAATTTCAAATTACCATATGTATAAGCACAATGTGTTATTGCTATTGTTTATTTACCTATCTGTTAATTTTTCATAGTTTCTATTCTATTTCTTTGTTTTAATCTATTGTGTATACCGGTTATCTTCTGTTCGACTCTTTATTTATTGGAAATTGGCACATTTTATACGACAGTTATGCTTTAAATAAAATATATTTTTTACATATGTGTAGTTTTCTTTGAATGGAACATTCATTTATAAAATTACACATTTTTTAAAGTTATAAATACATTAAACTTGCGGCCTTGTTTTTTATGTAAGAGGCCAGTGAAAATGACTCCCGGTGGCTGAGTGGTAGTGCTTCACGCTCCCGTGCCACAGGTCCTGGGTTCGATCCTCGGGCAGAGTTGACTCAGCCTTTCATTCCTTCAGTGGGTCGATAAATGAGTACCAAGCATGCTTGGGAACTAAACACTGGGGGTTTCGTGTTCGGCTGACCATCTAACCAGAACACGTGCTTCTGCACCCCAGAGCCCAAGAAAACTGAGATGGGCATAGTAGACCTTGGCCCTCTTTGGACTGTTGAGCCACTGAGATGCGTATTTAGGAAAATGGACATTTGATTCTGTATGTGAGCATCGTTCTTATGCCTTGGCTAAACTGAATGAAATCGACCCATTTCATAAACGGATAGAGACTGGGGATGAGAAATGGGTCATATACGACAAGATTGTGTGAAATGATAATGGTCAAAGAGCAGTGAAGCAGTTCAAACTGTGCCCAAACCAGGATAATGTCCAGCAAGGTTCTGTGCATTTGGTGGGATTGGAGAGAAATAATTTATAAGTTTGAATCTCTACTGTCAACAACTCAACCATTTGAAGTTGGAGATCAATAACGGCCACAATTGGTCAACGAGGTGCTCCATCAAGAAAGCACTAGGCCACACAAGTCTCTAATGACTTTCCAGAAACTCCAGGAGCTTGGTTGGCAAGTTTTGATGCATTCACCATTTAGTTTGCACCTGGCATTAAGCGATTACATTGTTTTTCTTGCAATTCAAAATTTCCTTAGTGATAAGAAATTGCCATCAAGACAGCTCATCATTGGTAATCAAATATTTAAGACTGGTGAATATGTTTCATCTTTTTAAAATAATTTCATTATAAATTCAACTAAGTACGCTTAGATTATCGTGACTCATTGAAGCGAGAGGTGGAAGTGCTGATATGAAGCTATGCCATTTTTCTTTTATTTAGAACAGGGTGCGTAGCCACATCTTTCAACAAAAAATAAGTACTTTTTAAGCACTCAAAAAATATTTTTAAGCACTTCATACGTTAGCAAAATAATTTTCAAAGACTTTAGATGATCATGAGAAAATAACTAGTTTCTGACAAAGAACTCTTTTTCTTGATTATATTAGCCGTTATAATGATCGAGAGATTTTTCGGTTTGATATAAGAGGTTGGAAAATGTCTGAAATTGAGAATATCTTGCAAAATGCAGCAGAGTTGCACATGAGAAGGCAATAATCTCACTGAACCCAGCTCAGTAGACGCACACACGGACTCGAGCATTTCATAAACATGCAAAATGATAGGCGCTTTCATACGCTATGAACCGACGGTACATCAAAGTGAATTGTGAAAACGTTGAATGGAACAAAGTGAAAAGCACGCTTTTGCATAATACGCGGCGAAAATCGACATGGTAACAAAAACGGGTGATTGTGAGCCCATGTCAAAATTCTGGAAAATTTCTTGAGTAAAAAAAAAATTTGAAAAAAAGTTTAATCAAGAAATTAGGAAAAAATTTAAACAAGGTTTTTTTCCTTTTTCTCAATATTTCTTAGTTTACTTAAAATATATTTAAAATTTTACACATACCTATGATGACCTGGAGAAGCAATTAAAATTTACAAATACGTCTTTCTTTCTTGAGTTTATGATTATAATAACTATTTACTGATAAAAAATGAATATTTATCTAGAATATTAGCTTATTTGGCTCTCCCTTACAAACAAATAAAATAAACTGTATTTTTAAGTTCCACCTTTGAAAATTTGATTTCCGGAAACTTTTATGATCAATGATTTTTTGAAACCTCTGAACCTTCGATCTCCGGAAACTTCCGGATCACGGTTAGCAAAAAATCCGGAAATCTGGATTTTTTCTGGAGCACAATCAGCCATGCAAAAAAAAAATTTATTTTTTAAAAGGGAAAACAGGGTGCATAGCCAAATCTTTGAATCAAAAATAAGCACTTTTTAAAAACTTTTCAAGCACTTCACAAAAATTTTGAAGCACTCAAAAAATTCATATTCAATCAATGATATTGAAAAACAAAAACTTTTTATAAACAGTTTTAGCGTTTAAAAAAAACCCATAAAGAAACGGGCGTAAATCGAAACAATCAGTACTTTCCCACATCACCGAGTGAATTCAACTTGACCCTGAACTCAGAACAAAAGTACCCTTACCCCCTATGTCAAAAAAAGTGTTAGAAGTAAAATAAAATAAACAAGAACAAAATTAAAATAAATTAAAAAGAAAAAAATTTCATAAGGATCTGATATTCTCTATCTGAATTGGAGCACTCGGGTTTCGGTTTCAAATGTGCACGTATGCGCAAGTCATAACGTGGGTACGACGTGAAGTCCGCGTGAATGATTACGTAGCAAACTCCTCATTTTTCATGAAATGCATGGCATCCACCAGATATCGCTGAAGGGGAAAAAAAATTATTCGGAAAAAAAGCACTTTTTAAAAACGCCAGTTGAAACAAGCACCTTTAAAAGCTTTTAAAAACAAAATCCACAAAAAAGCACTTTTAAGTACTTTTTACAAACGCTACGCACCCTGGAAAATTAAGCACCTTTTAAAAACACCCAATGAAAAAAGCACCTTTAAGGGCTTTTAAATATCGAAAATAAGCATTTTTTAAAAACGCCACGTACCATGTAGTATAAAAAATGCTGAGTCACTCACTTTTCACTTATTCATTTAACCCCATTTACTTCTAAAAATCTTTTACATTAGCATTCAAACTGATGTTGATAAAAAGAAAAAAAAATGAAAACTGTTTTAATAAAAATTTTATTACAAATCACTTTTTGAAATATTTAAAGGCATATGAAACAGCAAATATACAGTTTAAATGAACTTTAATGTCAAAACATAAACAATTTTATAATTTTAAAACCAGATCTCTTTGGCTAAAATTTTAAATTTATATTGAAACAGTTTGAGTATGAAAATAAAGGTTTTTAGTTTATCACAGTTGAAGATGACAATGATATAGCTCATCTTAATTATTTGCACATTCATCTACACTAAAATGGAAAACAAGTGAAATTTGTCTCTACAAATAAAGCTGCCAATTAGTCCCACAAACTGTTCATTGATATTTAAAAGTTATGTTCTCAATAACATTTGGTTTTGTTTGCAACAATTAGTATTATTTTTAGAATAAGAAAACCTTGACTATTAAAAGAAAATGACAAGCTAAAATATATTCAATGTCTTCTTATAAAAGTCACACATTTAATGCTTAAAAAAGAAAGGACATTGTACAGACGCTTGTTTAAAATTCCCAAGAATAATAAAGTACAAAAATTGGGAGATTGCACATAAGCTATGGACAAGAATGTAATTTTTAAAAATTTAAGTACAATACAACAATTTAAAATTTAAGTTTTTAGGATTAAAACTTTCTATGATTAAAGTTCATTGGCATAAATTAACAATTTTTCCAGAAAAATATATTATGTTGATTTAAAATCGGATTTAACATAAATTTTTAATTGCATCGATATTTTAAAAAATTTGGCTGAATTCCAGATGTAGAATACTTAATAAAACTGCCTATTTTAAAATTAAATTTCACAAAATATCTAAGAAAAACTAAACCTTGATTTATTTGTCTGGTGTCAAAATATGCACGGATGACTAGAGAAAGCCGAGCAACAAATGATTATTTAACTTTAAATAATAAAAAGATTTAAATTATAAAAATATTTAAGATCAAAATGCACCAGAATAATAAGAGTAATAACTCAAGGTTTATAACAAAAACAAATGCTGATGAATGCAATAGTTATTTTTAAAAAAATATGAATAAATTATCTTAATTGCAAAGGAAAATCAGACAACACATATGAAATATTCCAAGATCTAACACAAAGTATGGAATGTTAGCATTAGATATTATGAACTTTAAAGAAAACTCGATAAAAGCAGTAGTGATGACAATCCACAAGTTAATGACCAAGCACTGAGCTTTTTCGTAGTTCTATCAATAGTTTGACGATAGCTAAACTTTCATAAAATCTGAAGTGCCTACCGAAGTTCCTCGGTAGGCACTGTCGTTATGTAACTATACAAAAAATATCACCATATCAGATCATACACACATCCCACTCTAGCTAAAAAAAGCTTTGTCATTATTGCAGCTGTATGGCTCAAGTCAACAATTTAATCACCTCAATTATTAGCTCTTGCAATTTGAAAGGTAAACATAGCTGCCAATGCAATCAGGAATAAGTTGTATATGGGTGTTGAAGATGCATTTACACCATCTGTAAGCTCGTTGCATTTACTGCCACAATCTTCACTCTCGCAGACTTCGCACAGTGTAACAGACTTTGATTCATAAAACATTCTGGCACTTTTGGCTAAAATAATAATGAATGAAATGTAAAAATTTGTAATACAAAATATATAGTGTATAATGAACTGTCATTTAAGTTTGGATTTTTTAAACACAGAATTTAGCTGACATAGAATTTTAGGTTAATTATTCTTTTTAATATGGTAGAATATCTTTTTCATACAGAACAAACTTTGAATCATGAGGCTTTGCATTGTATAAAATTTTGTGCTATATATTAAACTTTTCATATATTAAACATATAAATGTATATTTGAAATAGATCTATATTACTGCTTTGAAACAACTTTAAAGGTTAATACTTAAGACACAGAAAATGCACTTAAAATATTTATTGTTTTCAGAAAAAAATTTAAATTATACGCAATAGAGCTAACAACCAACAAATGTATCAATTTTGGATTGCTTTAGAGATTAAGCTAATGCTTTATGAAAAATTACGTTAACAAATACTTCAATACAATAAAACCTCTCGGGAGCGACCACTCTCCATTCCACAGTAAAATGTTCGTTTATAGAGGTTGGTAGTGGTTAGAGGTTACCTCCATTGACTTCAGAATTGTTATCGATTGAAGGTACGTGATTTCTCCCAAAAGATTTTAACCAGTGTCATTTTCTTGGTGTGGATATGCTACTTTTGTTGACGTTGTGAAAAGATAAATCGATGAATAAAATTTAAGGTCTATAAAAATGATCCCAACTGATATAATTATGCGTAAAAACAAATTTACCAATTATGAATGATAAAGCTATTTTAAATAAACAATAATATTTTTGCATTTATATTTTATATCATAAAAATTAGTTAGCTTTAAAAGATGAAGTTTGTTTGAGATGCTTGTTTTATCTTAAATTAGAAAAACAAAAAGTTATTTAACTCTAAATTTTAAAAGTAAATCATTGATAGCATTGTCTTTAGTGCACTCTCTTTGCAACATAAGGTTGCATCATCAAAAAGAGCTCTCTAAATAAGAGCCTCAATCAACTCATTTGTTTTGTTAAATTTTTTGTTTTAATATTTTTCGTGTTTCCTTATTTAACCTTTTCCACATTTGGTGCAGATGTTTATATTATGAAATATCTATTTAATCTACTTAAACAGAATGAAAGCTTTTGTTATGTACAATTATTTAAAGTAGTTAATTTCTTATAAAATGTGGGTAATCACATTTTACCTCCAAGATCTTTACAATTATGTAATTAATGTTCGTATAGGAAATGTTTTGAAGTTTTTAGGCTTTGCATTTTTTATTTATTGAATAAAAATAATTTTTGACATTTAAATATCTTAAATTGCCCACAAACAAATACTGATTTACCTATACACACACACTTTGCTATATACCTCCTTTGTTTATTTTATTTTATGCTATTTATGGGAATTATCTATATATAGTTAATTTAAAATAAATTTTATTTATCACAGTAAGAAAAGTTTTATTGTAAACAGAAAAAGTACTCACATAAATCATAATAATCATACACTTTAACAGGGACAGGTTTAGGATTGGCTACTTTGTGACTTCTAAAAGCAGGGACATGAACACAGACTTCATTGTCAATCTAACAAAAAATTCATGGATATATATATCACTCATATTATAAATCATGTCTTCCAGGCAGAATTCAGTTATTTTTCCTTGATTATAAAAATGAAATAAAATATAAAAATTATAACTGACATTTTTTTTACATTACTTTAAATTAACGTTATATTTGTAATCTATTGCTCAAAATCATGATGCATATTAAAGTTACGAAGAATATTGGTATTATTAATTGAAAACTTATTTGGGCAGGAATAAAACAATTGAAATGACTTATCGATAAGATAGAATAACAAGCCAAATATGCGATGATTTTAAGTTCTTTGAAAAAATAAAGTGATGGCCAAACTTATTTCTAAGTGTTTGAAACGTATAAACACTCCTTTCATAATAATTATTACAAAATATATAATTTGTGTTTAAATATATAATTGTGTTTAATTTAAATTTTTCTTAAAGTGTTTTAGTTAAAATGAGAAATTTTTCCCTACACCTAATTTTAATATATTTTGCAATATATTAAAATTAGGTCATAAAATAATAACATTTAACATCGAAGTTTATACTTTAAGATAATAAAAATTTCATATAATAAAAATTCAAGATCAGGTATTAAAGTTGTACAAAAAGAAAATTTACCCTGTCAAAGTATATGACAACATTGGTATCACCCTCATTTGTTTCAACTCTCATTAATTTGTCTAAATTCTTTATCATGGGTAAAATTTCTGTATCAGCCTCAAACCCAGAAGGAAGACCAACTTCCATTACAGCCATATTACTAGCTCCACTCTCTTTGTAGCTGAAATAATTTAAAATTATCTATTGTTATTTATGAACAAAATTCAAACTACTGTTATAAAAAAGAAAACATTTATGACAAAAGCAGAGATAATTATTTCCTATATAAGAAGATAAAATTACACAAAATAGAAATTATAGCATTCCAACCAAAGCAAATTGTAATATAAGATTGTTACATCACACAACAAAGCAACCAATGGACACCTTTGAAAAACTTTTCTTCCCCTTAAAAAAATTTTTAGTATAATTTTTTTTAAAATTTTTACCCAACCAAATTTTTCTAAATATTTAATTTTTCTCTGCAATGTATGAAAAATCTATTTTATTATTGAAAATTAAATTGTAAGCATTAAATCATGTAGTTAGCAGAGTGTAATAAAGATTATATTAAAAATATGATTTAAAATGTTTAAAAAGGTTCACAATTTTCTTTTTACAATTACTTACATAAGCTTTAATTTGATACTGAATTTAGTTTTAAATTTTTACTCGCTTATGAATTTTGTAACAAAAATTACTACCTTAAACATGTTAGTATTATACAATTAAATCAGAAAATTATACATAAATAGATTTTAGGCTATGAAGGAACTAAATTTTTAATTTAACAGGAAAGTTTTAGTATTTTCAACACAAATTTAAGATATATTCAAATATACAAGACTTTTTAGTGGACTAAAATAATCTGGCAACATTTTGCAAAAATATTAGGACATTTTTACAACAGTATTGAAACTACTAAAAGGCAAATGGCAAAATAAGAATTAAAAGTATAATTTGATGTATTTAAGTTATACAAACAAATTTTTATCACAAATGAACAATGGAATATATTTTTAATTTCAGAATACTTTGTGAAGAACAGAAAGTTAAGAGTTTCTAGCATAATTTTATCAATACGGAACAACTTTCATTAGTTTCAATTCAATATATGGAGAGAAAAAATTATAATATTGTTGCATAAAAAAACAGCCAGTATCAATTATTGAACTATTCCCTCAAACCAATATTTGTTATCTACTTCAACATTTCCTTGATCAAATAATTTTAAAGTGAGATTCAATAATATTGAAGTGAAAACGCAATGAATATGCTACTTAACAATTTTGCACAAAAATAATTTTGAAAGATGATTCCTCAATTCATTATGTAAAAATTCTATGATATGAGTGTTGTATTGTTCATTATGAAACTATCATCTTTAATATCACTAGTAAAAGAATATTTAATACTTGAGAAACTATTAAACCCCACACTGTAAGATTTGTTACCAGGGTTCGCCAAGTGGGCCCACTTTGAAAAAACCCGTCCGGGTTTTATTGGGCGGGCCCACCTTGAAAAAACCCACTTGGAACGATAAGTGGGTTTTTTCCAAGTGGGTTTTTTCAACAAAAAAAAATATTTTTTTTTTACTAAAACTTATTGTTTCGCATTTACTTTTATATAATTTATTGTGCAGCATAAATTTGTCAAATAGAGTTGCATGATTTATATGATTAAGTTTTTTATATTAGTAAAGTAAAAGAAACTCGAATCTTCATATAATTTTATAGTAGGTACTATTGAAAACTTCAAGTGGGTTTTTTCAAAAAGTAATATTTTAATGATATTAAATCAAATAAAAATTTAAATAATATACTCTGAAAAGATCAATTTTTCAAATATAGTTGCATGCTTTATATATTAATAAACAGGTTATTATTATTAATTCATATGTTTAAAATAATTGAAAAGAAACAATTTTTTTCTTTTTTTACCAAGTGATACATTAACAAAATTTAAACAGTTTTATTTTCTGGCTTTAAAAAAAAAAAAAAGCTAAAACTCTTTATAAGAGAACTTTTTAAAATTATTTATCGAGAAATGAAATCATTTTCCTAGGATTAATTATTTGAAAACAAATGGGACAAGTAACTGATACTCTTTATAATTATACGTAGTTTTACTTTCACTTTCCATTAACCTTATTATAAAAACTTGCAAGACCATTAAATATTTATTACAGTTTTTTATTTAACTCAAGTCAGATGAAATTTTAGTTTTTACTGATTATAAATATTTGCAGATTATAATTTTATAATAGGTAATATCCATATGTTTAATAAATATAGTAAATAAATGTGTGTGAAAACAAAAAGATTAATAAACTTGTTCCTTTTATATTACTACCTTTTATATTTTACAATTCCTAATTTAAAAAATTATGAAACGTAATGTACTTAACAATAAAGAAGTTTCAAATATGTATTAGTGATAATGCATTATTTAAACTTAATATAAAATACGTATAACTAGGGTTCCCCAAGTGGGCCCACTTTGAAAAAACCCACTTGGTGTTGTTTTTTTTTTAATTTGGTTCAAAGGGAAGTATCTCCTAATACTATCATTGGACACATCGTTGAAGTTAACAAATATTTTAGAAATGTACATCAAGCACATGGATGGGCAAATGAAAAAAACTGCTTGATGACCCAATGACCAAATGATACTAGGTGGAATTCATATTGTGAGCATGTAAAAGCTTTTGCCAATAATTACCATAAATATGAAGAGATTGTTCTTGAACATCAAAATGAATCTAATAATAATATGTCAAAAATATTAAATAATGTTGGGCTTTACCAATAAACTATCAATTGGGAAAAGCAGATGTCAATTGTTTCTTAAGCTTTAAAAAAGCTTCAACCAGAAAACATTTCAATTTCCGAAGCTGTTGAAATATGAATTAACTTACTATCATGTGATGAATTAGAACCCCATAAACATTTTGTAAAAAGATTCAATTAGGCTGTTCAGCCACATCATTTATTAGCATATGCATCCTGGATCCCGAAACAAGTGGACAATTTTTAAATGATGAACAAGACCAATTAGCAGTTGTCTTTCTAGGCAACATCCAGAATTTCTGCCACGTGTTATGGCACTCAAAATGTCCGATCCTGAATACTTTCCAAAATCAATGATGCTTGACACTGTTATTCAACAGTTTTCATTGAAAAATAGTGGAAAATTATGGCAAAAAAAAAAAAAATTTAAATAAATAAATAAAATTCCTAGCTTCCACAAAATTTCTGTCATTTCTTTTCTCTTTGCACTCAACACCAGCATCCTCTGTCTCTATCGAAAGACACTTTTCAACTTTCGGTTTGGTGCGGAGTAAACTTCGAAATAGATTAGGAACAGATAAAGCTACAAAACTCATAAAAGTGTATCACCATCTAAGAGAGAAATGTAGACACTTTGATTCTGTTGTATAATAATAATAATAAAGAAAAAAATGGAACTTTTTTTGAAGTTAACTCTTAACATCTGCTGACAATTTTTAACTATTTGGAGAAAGTTTATCACAATTAAAAAACAGTTAAAAATTAAAATATTACTTTTAAGATTTTTTAAATATTATTTTTAAGATTTCATTTGAATACAATTTATTTTGTTTCTTTTAATCATGCTTAAAAATATTGAAAGCAAACAAAAAAAAAAAAATTCTATTAAGTGATACATTAAACAACAATAAACAAATTTAAAGTTTTATTTCTGATTTTAAAAAAATAAGCTATAACTTTTTAGATATGCTTTTTTATAATTTTAAGACTAATTTGTCTTTTGAAACTATAAAGTTAAAATGTATCTAAAAATGCATATATTTATCTAAATATTTGAAAAAAGGGACAAGTAACTGATACTCTTTATAATTATACGTAATTTTAATTTCACTTTCTATTAATCGTATTATAAAAACATGGAAGACCATTAAATATTTATTCCAGTTTACTTTTTTTACAAGTAAAAGTCAGATGAAATTTTAGTGTTTACTTATACAACTCTATTTAATAAATAAAAATAATTTCACAGTAAAATTTATGAGCACTAAATGAAAAAACCCAATTTTCCCCGGGTTTTTTCAAATAAAACCCAATTTTCCCCGGGTTTTTTCAATAAAACCCAGGCGGGTTGGGTTTTTTCAAAAATCCCCGGGTTTTTTCAAACCCTGTTTGTTACTGCATTTGATTAAAATTATAAATAAGCATATGGCCCCTGAATTCATCACCAAAAAATTTTGATAATTCAAAATTGTTAATTGACTGTTTTTTTTTTTTTTTTTTTTTTTTAAAAAANTTTTTTTTTTTTTTTTTTTTTTTTTTTTTTTTTTTTTTTTATAAAAAATGAATTCAAAGAAATTGAAGCAATGTGTTAATGGTAAATGCTTGAACCATGCCTATAATTAGTTGACAGTTCCTAAATTGGAACTCTCAAAATTTTGCAATTTTTACTAGCATTATTAATTAAAATAAAAAAAGATGTTGCATCAAATATCCAAAACCTTTTATTCTTCAAATCTATTTTTCTTTAAAAAAATTGCATTTGTATTCTAGAAAATTGGATTCTCTAAACGCACACAATTAGGTGCCTCAAAACAAAAAAGATAAAATCAGAATTTATTAAATATCCAGAAAATCGGAAATATCAGGACAAATGTGTACTAATACCTAAAAATATGTGACTAATGCCTAGTGTACTAATACCTAAAAATATGTGACTAATGCTTCAATTTTTACCCAAAATTCTTTTTTATGCCAAGTATATTAAAAAATTTAAAGCATGAAATACAAAATGACATTAGAAATTGTAATAAAATATTACCGAGTGCAAATATCTAGCTCCATGTAATCACCGGTGAAGGCTTTGCCCAAATCAGGTTTTAATGAAAAAGCTGGAGTGACATCAGTAACAGCAACATTGTATGACCATGTGACCTGCATTTCAAAACTATGATTAATGGAATACTTTTCATTACATATAATTTGTAGTTGTTTGCATGTACTTTCTGTGCTCAATGATTTTTTTTAATTATTTAGCTTATGAACACTTTATTGAGAAAGCAGAAAATGTAACTTTATTAAATGGTTATAATTGGCTGGCATGCATACTACTTATTTTATAACCACGATTGAACAGCTAACCTATTTATGAGTTTACAACTACTAATGTTCAACAGCGTAGTCTGTTAATTTTGAACCCAACTCAGAAGACAAAGGAGCCTCTCGAATGAGCATTGTTAAATTAGATTACATAGCAAACTTTTAGATGGAACTAGCCTGTATTTGTGTTAAATGGAAGAAATACGCAAAAACCAGTCAGGTTTAGTCCGATGGCAAGAACATTCTAACTCACGATGTCCGTCCACCACTGAGGATATTTTGTAAAGCACTGTGGTCAGTGGGAGCAAGGGACAGAATTTTTAACAGTCTATTATCACTGGCAGAGCCAGATTATGCCTTTCGTAGGCCCTAGGTTTAGCCGTTTTTGGGCCCTCCCCTCCTCCCCTCTTTTCAAAATATATGCTAAAATTTTCTTGCCTATTTTTTTTAAACATTTTTATTAATATGGATTTTAATTTACGAATTTGTTTATCGAACTTTATCTGCAATACCGACATACTGCCGATATTGCAGTTGATATCGATAATACCATTATGATTAGTTCGATCGATAACTATGTAAACACTTCACATCAACAATACAACAAAGAAAACAGTGAAATTGATAGTGAGATTAATTACAAGAAATATTTATACAGTAGAGAACCAATTATCCGGGATAATCGGGAGCATCGCTATCCCGGATGTCTGAATTTCCCAGTTTTCTGGATCGACCAAAAAGTGTCGTTAATCGATGCTTTATCGAACCCGAATTACAAGGAAAAAGTGCAATGCATAAAGTAAGAGAAAAAAGAAAGGTACTCCTAACTTTAAAGAGAAAAAAAATGGTAGAAATATAACATTTAAAAGAATAAAAAAATTTACAAGTTTAGACAAGAAAAGCAAGTTTAAAAGATACAAAATTCTCATATTTATTTTTTAAAAATAATTACAATTCCTAAGTTAACTAATATAAACAAAACCAATGATTAAATAACGCAATATATTTCATACCTAATTATACGGGGGGAAACAATAAAATAAAAGGAAAACTTATTAATCTAAATAAAAACACTTGAAAATTATCGAACCGAAACGATAGTTAAAAAAGGCACTAGCATAAATATTAAAACCCGGAACAAGGCAAGATCAACGGAATT